CTGTACTATGTACCGCACATACTAGGTTCGTACAGTCTGTACTATGTACGTACCGCACATACTAGGTTCGTACCGTCTGTACTATGTACGTACCGCACGTACTAGGTTCGTACCGTCTGTACTATGTACGTACCGCACATACTAGGTTCGTACCGTATGTACTATGTACGTACGCATGTACTAGATTCGAACCGCCTGTACTATGTATGTACCACACTTACTAGGTGTGTAACACTCGCTATAGTTAAGTTTTTACCGCTACTGTGAACATATCGCTAGTACTATATACGTACCGCCCGTACTGTGTACATACCGACAGTACTATGTACGCACCGCCTATACTATGTATAGTATAGTCGGGGAAACTGGCGGAGTGCAACCTTAAAAGCTACAATCGTTTGAACTTTTTGAAACGAGATGTATTCTAATTATTGTATGTACCGCTCCTACAAGGTACGTAATACTCGTCAGTACTATGTACAGTAGCGGAAAATCACAGTGTTCTACTTACAATTAACTTGTCTCTTGCAACGAAACCAACTCCACCTATTATAAATAATAGTTATGTACCATTGAAATTCAAATTAATTTAAAAACTATATCCTTATAGAATTTTGTTAGAATGTCTTGAAAAAACTAATTTTCTCAACAGGTACACGGAAAGTATTGGACAGCTGTCGACCACCGCAATGAACCGTATGATTTGATTCACAGTTGAACATCCATATTTTAACAAAAATATTTTCAGAATACCACCGATTTTTAAAAATGGTAACTCATTTGTAAATTTCTTCAGCTTTTGTAATAATTTCTACTTATCACCTATAATTCTAATTGAAATTTTATATTTGTAAAAGTTTTACGTATCTAAAGATGGCTGCCAAACGATAGAGCGAGAAAAAAAGACTTGTATACGACAAGTACATAAGTGCGACAGAGATAACACGACTCCTTGCACGAGCTACATATTGCCAACTTTAGAGACGTAAATTTAGGCAGTTATATGAGTGTAATAAATGTAGCCTTTTTCACAATTAATACTATTGCTTGGTTAAACATTTATAAAATAATATTTTATATACTCTATGACAGCTTTTAAGACCCATATTTTAGCAAAAAATATTTGTAATGGCGATTGAACGTTGGATGGATGGATAATAGCTTTATATGTTACTGAAAACCTTTTTTTTGTTAGAGTAATTTTAAGTGGTTCACGAAATAATTATAACAAATAGATTTTATTACAATTTGTTCACTTTTGCTATAGTATATTAATATTTTGGTAAATATTGACAGTCAAAGTTTTGCTTACTAAGGGACTGTTTAAGTGGCCATTAAACGACTGAGCGTGGCTCTAAATGTAGTATCCAGTATTTGATTTGGCATTTCAAGAACAAGAACCAGTATATAAAATTAAAGTAACATTTTAATATCTGTATTTCACAGTATTGTGCGACAGGGACAACGCTCTACAAAACCGAACCTCTTTACTTACTTGATAAGAAAATACGTGCAAAGTAAAATTAAACCTTATTTTAATCGGATAAAGCTCAATTTGATTTGTGGTGAAAAATTGCTTTGTTCTATGTTCGGACTGATTAAGGGAGCGTGCACACCTATGACTAAACTATCGCACAACTGTTTAGTCTCGCTTTGATATGAGCTTATATGGAGGTGCGCACATTATTCGATTTTTAGTTGTGCAACTAAACAGTTGAATTGGCTGCGAAACAATCGACAACCGCGCAACAGTTGTGCGATATTTTAGTCAACATTTATGGACAAATCAAATGCCGCGTACTATAATTTTTATTTCTCTGTAATTTAGATAATATAAATATTACTATTGTATTTTCTTACGGATGTTTTTCACTAAGGATCTATCCCACAGTTCTTGTAAATTGTCTGCCAACAAAAAAAAATGTGATGGAAATGTCGAATTTTGGTACTATATCTGACAGTGACGTCACATTTAAGCTATCTGAGCTTCTATCAGCCAATAGTGGGACAAGCTCTAAGGCTTGTATTTTATTACATTCGCTCAAAAGTCTATTCGTTTATTCTATGTAACCGTAATTTTGTTATTGGCTAAATTGTCTTAGCCATAAAACAGATTTGTACATACTTTTGTAAGAAATAATATATTAGTCAATTGGTGCTTACTAGTCAAAATTATTATAGCACGACCACGTTTATGAATATAAAAAATATTTCTCGGCCTTACTAACAGTGTACAGTCAGCTGTATTTATATTTATAGATCTTACTAATATTATAAATGCGAAAGTTTAGATGGATGGATGTTTGTTAGAGTTTGCAGTCTTAACAGCTAAAGGGATTTCGATGAAATTTTGCATATATGTAGAGAATAGTCTCGAAGAACAAATTGGCACAACTTGTTTATACATAAGAACACTTTGTTTTTTAAATTCCACCGGGAAGGAGTCGCGGGCGAAAGCTGTTTTACAGTAATTTAAAAACTTGTTTAGCCTCTAGTTTCAAAAATATTCACGGTCGGAAGTATATGAACAGATATATGCATGATTTTTTTTTAAACTGAATGCATAGAAGTTTCTAAATTTTAGTAAATGCACATATTTATGCCGCTGATTGTACATACTGAAGTGCATTAAACATTTATTTTATTGGTCATTTATATTAGACATTGCAATGTTTTATAAGAAATAAAAACTACCGCAAGGAGGCCTTTTAAACTAAATCAATGTTATATTGAATTCACGTTGTAACCTTGAGTTACATCTTCAAGGTCAAGTATGTTTTTAAAATATTTAGAACAGTTCTCCTAATGAAAACAATTATTACAAATTTCTTTTTTTACATTGCGATATCTCCAACTAAACAAAAAATGTAGCTGAAACATTCTTGGCGCGTATCTTTACTTGGAAGATGTGTTAATTTAAGATTAAAGGACGTAGACGTGACGTAGTTATTAAAATAAAACCATTGTATATATTATATTATATTTTTGGATTATACGATGATAGAATAAATTGTGTTTTTCTCAATCCTTTTAGAGAAGCAGTAAAAAGTTTTACAGTAAGAAGTAAGTACTACCCATTACCATATTCTTGCTAACTGAATTATCATTTTCGTAATAATATGGCTATCCCTTTACAACTCTTTTTTAAAAAAAGATAATAAAAAGATCTCATTAAAGTGTTTAAAATAGTTTAAAATAGTGTCTTTAAAGGAATGTCCAAATTAGATCTAAAAAACAATGTTATCATCTTCAATTAATTAAAATATAGAATTCTAAGTTACAAGCTAGTTAATGTCCGTTAAATGCTTTTCCACAAGCGACGTTGGGATAATAAGCGTTAACTATTGTTTTGAAGAAATCGGCGGAGAGTGCCGCATTAGCGGGCAGTGATTCAATTTTCTTTATAATTCTATCATAAGTGGCTTGCTCCTCTCGGAAATACATGTCGACGATGCCAAGTTGTTGGTACAAGTCGCGGATGCGTGTCATATGGTCCGGCTCCCAGCTGCCGTAGTTAGCTGTAAACTCCTCTCTCTGGGCGGGTGAGAGGCGCTGTAGGGCGATCACCGCCAGCCACGTGCATTTGCCTTCCTGTATGTCGGATCCCGTCTTACCAGTTCGCTCGTCTTCGTCATAATAATCAGTGAAGTCATTCTAAAAAACAAAACAGGTTTTTAATTTATAATTCATATTCTAAAGTTAGTTAAACCACGATTGTTTCCGTTGACGTAAGTTAACTGAACTAGTATTTAACATTTTTTTGTATCAAAAACAACCATTTAATAATAGGATCCTATAGATTCCTATATTCGTTTCATCATATTTGCAAGGTTTTGCAGAATGCTCGTATAACAAAAATGTCTACTTACATTTATTTGGCTCCAAATTCCAACTTCAGTTAAAATGTCGTCGACATGTTGACGTGTCACCTTGTCATACTTGTCGGACAGAACCAGCGCCGATAATATAGGAAATTTGATAGAATAGTACGCATACTTGTACAAAGCAATATTTTTGTAAAAATCCATTGTGAAATTCTTGTAATTGCGTTGTTTCGATGTTATAGCATCCAAATATTGTCCTACGTTGCAAGTGAAAAACGCCTGTGAAAATAAAATTTGATTTGAAAAATAATATTATAATTTTCGTGCGTAGATATGTGAAGTTCCATAGTGGCCATCTATAGTCTTAATTGACTAGTGAGGTGCCCTAGCACTGCCGATTTCAGCTCTACTGGTGTCCTGGGCAATATTATAGAGTCCTCGAGTGTAATTTTCAGACCTGAGGCGTCTCTTTTTGTTAGGCGCCCTGGGCGATTACTAGATCACACCCAACCCTAACGCCAATATTTCCTTGAACTGTATTCTTCCCCTTTCAAACAAATAGTGTTTTTGTACATGTAGAATTTCACGGGTAGCCAAGGAAAAGAACTAAGATTAGCCATCGAGAGTAGTGACCTCGTTGAAGAGTTGAACGAAGTTGACGAAGTGCTGAGAGGGGAAATTGATGTGCAACAGTTGCATGATGAAGCTGCGCAGCATGCTGGCGTCGTTGCCGGCCAGCGAGCCCACGTCAGGCAACAGATGCCAACATGGCAGCCCGTTGCGGCTCGTCGCGCCATCCTCGATGTCATCCAAGATAAGAATATATGACATTAACTAAAAAAAATGTATGCATTTAAAAATAAGAATGGATATTATATCACTAACTTTATGTAGTTGTATAACAAAATCCTAAACATACCAATTCAACGCACCACGCTAAAACATATTGTTGATTCTTTAAATCGCCTTCTATTATCTCGGGCTTTAATAAAAGTTCATGGCCAAGTATGGTTAATTCACCTTGAATTGTCTTTCGTCCGCGCATATAGTATTCTGCAATCTGGAATTTTAATTGTCTTATATCAACTCATTGTGTTAATTAATTAAAAAAAACATGGATTAAATTAAACTGCGATTCACAGTTCTATGTATCAACTTGCTGATTTATTTTATGCACCAATATAAAAACACTAACGATCCGCTCCAGCTTCTGGGAAGCAAAGACTACATCTTTTATATTTTCTGTCATATTCAAACCCTTCCTGTGTTTCTCAAAACTAATGTAGCTAGCTGTATCTAATGATAAAAGGATTTTTGAAATCGATTCAGTTGTTTCGGAACAAATTTAACGCAAACAAAAAAATAAATCTATCCTTTTTATAATATTATAGACTAGCTGTTGCTTGTGACTTCGCCCGAGTAAAGTTAAAAAACATGTTACAGATAAATTACCTTTATATCGGTGTAAGAATTTTTTTAAATCAGCCCAATAGTTTTTGAATTATTTCAATTTAAACATAAATACAAATATTTTCTCTTTATAATATTAGTATAAGTAACTTTTGATACAGGTGTAACCGCAGTGCAAATTCTGGATAATTAGTAGCTTACTCTTTTCATTCGATCACGTAATTCAACAGTCTCCAGGTATTTAGTCTGTTGCACTCCCATGTCTATTACAACGGGTAGAGAATTGATGAAGCTATTGTATGCTTCCTGGGACAATATTTTCTTCTGCTTTTGAGGAGGACGCCTGAAAAACAACATACATGTTAAACAAAAGGCGGGGATAACTCGACAGTAATGCAGTAAAACCAATTGAATACCCGTAGAGTGAGAGGTTAAAGTCGTATGGGTTTTTTTATAAGATGACAAACGAATATCAGCCACCTTGGGTCTTTTAAATATCGAAGCAACCGCTCCTCATAGAAATATGAATTCACAGATGCTTTGCCTACCTCTAATAGGAAGAGGACGGGTCGCGCAAAAAGGATATTTTTTCTTCCTATGACTCTCCGCCTACAATTATTTTATGATAAGATAAAGTGAGAAAGGAAAGTGGACTAAAAATAGGCCTCCGGCACACACACTCATATGAAACGCAGAATTGCGTCCACAATACGCCTGTCTTTTGTGTGATCTTGGTATTTCACCGAGCTATTTGTCTATGTTCCTTAACAATTATTTTACGGAATCCGGTGGCCCTTTTACTGTCCTAAAGTTGGACTTTTTATAGAATTGTGTGAATTACAAGGGTACATACCATTTGCAACAATTTCTGGACAAATTCAGCATCCATTTAGTCGACACCATTTTACTTGGGAACACGAGATTCCAACTATAAAAATATCGACGCGACTCACTGTGCCGAACGAATATTTCATCTGTCTGAGTTTATGAAGTTTTTAACGTTTAACTTACGATAAATCCATTGTTTTTTTCAGTGCGGATGCCGGTTTCGTTGATTGTAAAATTTTCCTTATCTCAAAACAGGTATGCAATCAAATTCTCGAACGTTTAATCTTTTGGTATATAAAAAATTTAACGGCTATTAGTTTAAAAAGGAATATAGCAAAATATCGTGTGAACTGGTTGATGACTATACGCTTAACATCGGAAACGATTGTTTCCTATGTCTAGTACACGTTCGATAAAATATGAGACCTGTATCTAACTAGTTTTATCCTGCTAATACCGAGGTCGCATCACTGATATCAATTGACGCTGTGCCCAATAACAAATGTAATGCATCGGACATTATATCTACCTATGTTACACATCATCCAGAAAATTCTATCATTACCATTTCACTGTCGTTGCTTTTGTTTTATTAGTTTTTAGAACAGGTATATTACAGGTGTTATTTAAAGGTGTATTGCTAGAAAGGGCTATTACATATTTAGTAAGTCTTAAGTCATACGATCATACTTTGTGTTCTTCGTCATTTTCTATTGATCCATTAACAAAGTGCTACTTCCTAAGCTTGTATTGTTTGTAATTGACTTAAAAAGTTTTTTACTACATACCCCCATCCCCTGGATCATCGGCTCACCCCCCTTTGATGCCGGTTTACACTCCATAATCTTTGGCTAAACAACCCCCTTGGTCAATGGATAGTCTCCCAGATGGCTTAACCCCCTCTTCAATAGAGGAACCCTTCCCCCTATTATCAGCTTGTAACGACATTGTATCAATTTGCTATCATCGTCGGGCTGGCACTAATAATATCAGATTTTGGCTTTTAAAGTTAAACTCTGACAATATAAAAGGTCTTTCATAATATAATCTCTCTGTGACCAATTCTAGCCTCGTGACATGTCGAATAACTCGCTGTCACAAGTGCAGTAAATAATAGTGCTTGAAATTTCATTAACTAGAGAAGTAAGCTTACTATTTTAGTCAAAGGTCAGCACATTATATCTCTGAATATCGTACTATGTTACGAGTTGTTATATTACACTTCCGTTTGATCATTTTTCAATGTCTAGATTTCCTATGAGATGTATGTAATATAATTTATTTAACACATTTCCGGGCGATTTTAGGAGTTATATTATTGTCTAGGAATTTTGTAAAATGACGGATTTATTACATATCCGTTAACAGCTATATAACTTATCTAAAACAATGTATTATATTGAAATTCACATAACACGAGGCATAAAAATGAAAGTCAATAATGCTAAATGATTAATTGATGTGTGTTGCATAACACGTTGCGCAGCATGTTGCACGCCAAGTGTTGCCCAGTGAAAACGCTGCTTCATGTGAAAAGCAAATTACAGTCGCTACGCTTGGAATATTTATACCGATTTTTGGGGAAGTAGATATAAATAATTAATAACAAATTAATATTTATTAAAAAAAAACTTTTCACGCCTAAAGTTAAATTACTTGACAAAAAAAATTCAACATTTTTAGTTTTTTTTTGTAAATCCAATTTTAAACCCAATTTCGATGACCCCACCGCGACTTCTATAGAACAAGCTACTTGTGGTACTAGGTAGTTATAGTGCGTCCACAATTTAACATACTAGAGATTGTATACCCATTATCCTAAACAAAATTATAAAACCATTAATTTGCTACATTTTACTAGTTTCAGAAATTACACGGGCGTTGAATCTACGACTTTTGTAATTTGAACGATTCACCACAGGTGACGTTGGGATAGTAAGCATTGACCACAGTTTTGAAGAAATCAGCGGAGAGCGCAGCATTAGCGGGCAGAGATTCAATTTTGTTGACAATTCTGTCATAAGTGGCTTGCTCCTCTCGGAAGTAAATGAGATCGATGCCAAGTTGTTGGTACAAGTCACGGATGCGTGTCACGTGCTCCGGCTCCCAGCTGCCGTAATTAGCTATGAATTCCTCTCTCTGGGCTGGCGAGCAGCGCTGTAGGGCGGTCACCGCCAGCCACGTGCATTTACCAGCTTGGATGTCGGATCCCGTCTTACCAGTTCGTTTGTCGTCGTCGTAATAATCTATGAAATCATTCTGAAAAACAATACAGTATTATTTCTGTTCTGAGAGATATAGGTTACGAACACCTGTCAAAGACAGCAAAGAGGGATATGGTATATCTGTGTTACTTTAAGCCGTAACATCCGAGTATCTATTTTATGTACAACGAAATTAACAATACATATATAGCCAATGGACGATTAGAAACACTGAGAATACTGCAGAATCAATAGTAAAGTAGATATTGAGTTTCTTACATTTATTTGACTCCAGGTTCCGACATCGGTTAGTATATTTCCCACAAGTTTGCGTGTATCCTCGTTGTATTTGTTGGAGAGAACAAGCGCTGATAGTATGGGAAAATTTATACAGCAGATAGCGTATTTGTACAAGGCAATATTATTAAAATATTCCATAGTGAAGTTATCATAATTGCGATGTTTCGAGGTTATAGCATCCAGATATTGTCCAACGTTGCATGTAAAAAAAGCCTATAAATAAAAAAAATACTTAGCATACTTAAATATGCAAATGTATGACATATGTTAACGTCTGGGTTGTAGCTACAAAAAACCGAATTGCTTTTGCTGATGAAAAAGGCCAATTTTATCAGAAAAAACGTATTTGAATTTTAATTTGAGTTTGTTTTGTAGATAAATTAATTTAACTACGACATAGTGACATTTATGGGCGGTTTCTCATTCACAAGTGTTATTGTTTCCAAAACTTCATGAAATGCGATTCCGCACTTGGTAATGTTTTTTAAAATTAAAGATATCAAACGAGCGGCGGGAACACCAAGGTGGTCATCGATGCCCATGGACATCCCCAACATCAGACGAACTACAGATGCGTTGTCGTCCATTGATTAAATATTTTGGATAACCCTAATGTGGGAAAGAGACCATAACTTGCTGCCAACATCAAGGAAGCAAGGTTACCAAGGTTTGTCATCATGTCTTGTCATTTTGACATTTGCAATTGATAATTTGACACATGAAAACAATAAAATAAAATTTTCATAATTTCATGCGGATGATGTCGCACGGGAACAGCTAGTTGAACTATAATATAGATATAATATGTTATTTTAAACTTAACAACAATATTTTAGTTTTCAGAAAAAAAAGAAACAGTTTTTGAAATCATCGTAAATTTTAACTATATTTATAAAGCATAATTGATTCTCAATAATACTCTTCAAAGTACTGGGTGCTCAAATATGATTTTTATGTTAGAAAAGACCTCCTCAGGCCTATTCCACGCCTCACTTTTGTGATTCAGTTTAGTTATTTCTAAGTTTTAAATCTATGCTGTATAAACCTCGTTGAAGAGTTGAACGACGTCGCTGTAGAGTTGTGAGGGCAAGTTGATTAGCAATAGCTGCATGATGAAGCTGCGCAGCATGCTGGCGTCGTTGTACGCCAGCGAACCAACGTCCGCCAGCAGATGCCAGCACGGCTGCCCGTTGCGGCTCGTCGCGCCATCCTCGATGTCGTCAACAATAAGAAAGTATGACAGTATCTAAAACGAAATCTAAATGTGACATGAAAGTAATTACTACAACAAATGTTTACAAAAACTTTGTCCAGAGCCTGTGAATATTAATTCTATTTAAAAACAAAACATATATAATTTGAATAATCGAGCAACGCCAATAACAATTAACAACAGTTTATTATTATTTTTAGCTAGAGTTTTTAAAGTACTGTTAAAAAATTCAATAGTTTGATCAAGTTATCTCAGAAGATGCCAAACTTGTAATTCAATTCTTATCCAATGAGCAAAAAAAAATATTATCGTAAACATACCAATTCAGTGCACCAGGCTAAAACATTAAGCTGATTTTTTAAATCCCCTTCTATTTTCTCTGATTGTCTAAGCAGTTCATGGGCGAATATCGTCAATTCACCGTGTACAGTGATACGTCCGCGGATATAGTATTCGGCAATCTGAATTATGTTTCACATTATTTTATAATTGATTATCTAATTTCATGAAATGTACAAAACAAACTTTAATCCCCACCCATTCTACAGGGTACGAAACCAGAATATAATGCCAATCAATAGATTTGTTCCCACTGAGCAATCAATTTAATTCTATTGTTTTTATCTTTTTTTACACACGTCAACTATTTTTATCATTTTCGTATATCTAATTCGTATAGCTAATGGACATGGCTAAATTTTTGTCTCCATTGTTGGTTTCTTTATCTAATTCGGCATATTTATAATTCAAACGACGTTATGTACACACAAATATCTGTGACCATATACTTACCCTTCTCATTCGATCCCGTAATTCATTTGTTTCCAAATATTTAGTTTCTCGTACTCCCTTGTCAATTATAACTGGCAGAGAATTAATAAACTCAGTATAAGATGCGTCTGATAATATTTTCTTTGGCATTTGCCGGGGGCGCCTGAACAAAAAATCATACTAATATTACAAATGCGAAAGTTTAGATGGATGTGTAGTAGTTTGTAGCCTCAACTACTGAACGTATCTCAATGAAATTTGATAGAGATGTAGAGGATTTTCTGGTAGAACGCATTAGCTACTTCCTTTTTTTTCCACGCGGACGAATTCGCGGGCGAAAGCTAGTTATGTATAAAGTAATTTGAATTAAATTTACCACTTAGAACAATTCCTGGGTAAATTCAACAACCATTTACATAAAACCATTTTGTACGATGAGACCGGATCTTAGTTGAAATAATGTTATGTCCATTAACGTTAACGAGAACTGTACTTAAGTATTGTTTGTCTTTATAAACAAAAGCCTGTTTTCGTGTTTTTACACGTTACCTTTAAAAAAAAATCATAAAGTACAAAATCTTCACGAATAGACACAGAGCCAGAAAATCTTACTAATCTTACTAATATTATAAATGCGATAGTTTAGATGGATGGATGGATGGATGGATGTTTGTTAGCGTTTGTAGCCTAAACGGCTGAACGGATCTCGATGAAATTTGGCACAGGTTTAGAGCATAGTGTGGAAGAACACATAGGCTACTTTTTATCCTGGGAATAGTTGCGGTTCCCGAGGGATTCATTAATATAATTTTTAGTATTACTTGATCATTCTGCAACGGTTTAACATATCTTATTGAAATTTGGCACAGACATAAAGCAAAGTCTGGAGTAAACATGGGATAAGGTTCATCCCCGAGAAATGTCCGGTTCCCAAGGGATCTGTAGCTTTTTGTTATTTTGTATAATATAGTTTGTATGTTTTCTAATACCACACGGACGAAGTCGCGGGCAACAGCTAGTATGGAAATAATAATTGAACTTTAAACTTCAAGGAAAGTAAGGTATTTACAACGATGTTACCTACATCGTGACATCATTTATATTTCTATATTAAAAAAAGACATCTAAGGAGCGTGTAGCACTTTTTTTGAGATTAACAGGGAAGCGCTAATGAGCTATTGTAAATTAGTTTCACTCAAGTCCATCAGTTCAGAGAAGTTTGTCGGACTATAAAATTTTATTATCCAATTTGCATACTTATGTTATTTTAATTTGTCATTTTAAGGATGGTTACATTAAATTAAATTATTAAATGCACATGCCAACGTAACGTTGGATTGTTGGATTAAAGCAATGAACCAATTTGTTAATATTGTCATTTTGTATTTTATATTTATCTGTGGGTATCGACTGGTGTAACACTTGTATTAATACGCTCCACACTAAAAGATGATGTTGCAAAAACTTTCTCGTGAACATTGTTGATAAGCCCTCTGTGAAAAAAAAAATGTTTTTGAATATCGAAGATGCGTTTAATTTTATTTGGTTCGTATCATTGAATTGTTTAAGATATCATCAGAAATACATACTAGAAGTTTTTGCGTGTTATAGGCCTATCTTTTAATATTTAAAGCAAAATTAAATCTACTTCTACTGACATTATAAAGAAACTTGTATTTTTGTATGTACTGAAATAACTCAAAATCTACTGGGTAGATTTCAAAAATTCTTTCACCATTAAAAAGCTTCATAATCACTAACATAGGCTACGTCTTTTTGCTATTTTTAATTCCATGTGGACGAAGTCGCGAGTTATAACTAACTTGTTATAAATAAAATTATAAATTAGGTCACATCACATTATACACGTAAGTTGCTTTTGTTGAACTAATATGGCATACATTCAATCATTTAATAACAGATACTGGTAGTTACTATTCTTTGTGTGATAAACACTTTTTTTTTTATTTTCTTAATACATATTACAAAGTTGCCATCATATATATGTAACCTTTCTTTAAACGAAGAAAATGTATTATTATGACTATTAGTGTACTTCATATAAATGTCAAAGATGGTAGAATCCGCCTAAACGTCATCGCGTCAGTAAGTCAAGCTTTGAAACACCACGGCCAAGAAGACAGGTGTGACAAGGAAGCAATTCCGCTTTCATCTGATTGGGGTGCGTGCCGGAGGCTTAAACTCTCTTTCCATTTCCAACCTCTTCGTACAAGGACAGAATGAGAAGGTGAAGTGGATTTGGCAGGGAATGGGACGCATACATAGGTATAGGTAGGCATTTCTGTGCGACCCATTTACCCCAAAGTTTGGATGAATGGACTTTGTTTCTACGCATCGCCAAAACGGCTTGACGATCTCGATAAAATTTGGCACAGATGTAGGACATAGGTAGTCTCGAAGAAGGTTACTTACTAAGTCCCGGGCACAAACTGGAATAATCTAAAAATGGAGATACAAAAACCTAACACATTTTGACTTCAAAGTCTGTGTTACATTCATCAACTTGAGACCCATATTTTTTTAAAGCAATCGTTACCTAAACTTCATGCTTTTATCGTCCCTAGCTTTATTAGGGTTTTCTGTTGACATAGTTTCAGGTTTGCTGAAACCAAGGTGCTTCGACTAGTATGGTTTGCGGCTCATTGAAACATCAAGACATTGTAAGTAAGGCAATCTCATTGTTATAACACATCATTTCTTCTTCAATAAAAAGGTCAATTGATGTGTTATTTTCTTTTATATTGCTGTCTGGCCATCTGTGATCATTGAATTTGTATGACTCACTTGCCAAATCGATGAAATAAATTTTTTTTAAAACGACTCAATTGCTTTCACTACCAAAAGAAAAAGTAAACATAAAATAAAAACATCGTCATTCGCAAATCTTTATGACACATTTTTTTTAAACATTCTTTATTAAAAGAAAAAAATGTTCGTAATTGTGAATGGCTTTTCATACATTTTAAGTTGGTAATTCTGTTCATAATTAATATTCAAATAAAAATAAACATTAAATAAAAATTCGACATTCTATATAAAAAATAGATTTCTCAGTCTTTTTCCTGTGTATTGTGAACTTCGTTTGTCAATCTTACTTGTCTCTCAGTTTTGAGTCGCGAATATTCGTTTTTGACTAGAATTCGTAAAATTAAAAAATAAGTAATGTGTCGTGCTAATGTACTAATGTAAACCATTTTAAAGCAGACGGAGGCAAAAAGTTGCGGTTCGCATTTGAATTTGAGCTCAAAAATTGAAAACTGTATTTTGAACGTATAATCAGACTACATTTGTTGCAACATTCTTATCATCATCACTACTCACTATAGTTCCTACTGAGGTTCTCCGAGCTTTTTTTATAATATAAGGTGGCAAACGAGCAAGCGGCCACCCGAACCCACCGAAATGGAAAGCGACCGCTGCCCATAAACATCCGCAATTGCAGATGCGTTGCCTACCCTTAATTGACGGAGTAGGAGACGCACATAAAGAGGACATTTCCCCTTCCTATGCGTCTCCTCCACCGACAAATCCACTTTTCCTTCCCATCCTTTCCTCAAGAAAAGGGTGGAAAGGAATAGGGATTAAAATTAGGCCTCCGGCACCACACTCATCAGACGAAACGCGGAATTACTTCCTCTTCACGCCTGTTTTCTGTGTGGTCATGGTATTCCACCGGGCGAGCCGGCCCATTTGTGCGAAGATGTTAAAGTGGGCTCTACCACTGTAAATGCTTGCCTACGCTATATTAGGGGTTGCTAGGCTATAGTTAATTAGGCTGGCCTAGTGCGGGTTGATTTCACACATATCATTTAATTCTTCGCAGATATGTGCAGGTTGCATCTGCATCACGATATTTTCATTCACCGAAAGTACGCGGTATGAACCTGGAGTAAATTATGCTTAACCCTTGGGCCACCGACACTTCCAGTCTGGTGGTTCCTTTACTGGCAATACTAGGAGTACTACACCGTAGAAGTCTAAAGAACTGGAAGCTTTTATCAAAAAGGAATCATATAGGCGATTAGACGAATGTGCATTTCTTGATCGGATTTGTTTTATTTAGTACTAGCTTTTGTCCGCGACTTTATCCGCGTGAAATTTAAAAGTTCAAAACTTACTTTCGTCCCTTTTTGCAACCTATTACCAAAAGTATTAACTTAGTAGTAATCTACGTAATAACAGAAATCTAGCAATGCAAGATTCCAACTTTCAAATCCCGGTACTTTGTGCCCTGATTTTTCGGTTACCCTTATTGTTTGTGTTCGCGATATGTTCTAAACTATTAGTTCAATTTAAATAATGTTAAGCAAAATTTTATTCTACATTAAATTCTCCTGATAACAAATGCATTTATTTGGATAAGGATTAATATTGAAACCAATAAAGGAACGCCGCAAATGGCATGCGTTTTTTAATTCATTTTGTAAACAAAATAGTGGCTTTTAAGGCCGGCGTTAATAGTTCCTAAACATTAGTAATAATAAGATGTAGTATGTTACTCACAGATAAATTACCTTTCTGATGGTGAAAGAATTTTTAAAATCGGCCCAGTAGTATTTGAGTTATATCAATACATACAGAAATACAAAAATACAAATCTTTCCTCTTTATTATATTAGTATAGACTTACCTTTCGGGCCACGTGTTTATTATCCCTCGCAATTCTATACTCATATGTAGTTGTTAGCTACTTATATCGGAGTGTTACCGACTTTCGTTCATACAATTGATGACATTAAAGGGATCAAGTCGTCGCGTATTAAGTTTTCAAACATGCTTCTGACTAAATTGCACATACGAGGTTTGAGAAGTTCTGCTATTTGGTATGTCAAATTTTGTAATATTATTTGTACGTGTATATTTTGAGATGATGAAAAGTAACTGCATATTTGTTTAAAATATAATTATATAAACCAAATTACTGCTTTAAAATGTAGGACCTCATAGTGGTAGTTTTTTTTCGTGGTTGGTCATAGGTACTCTGATCATAAATGATATCTATAAAGAGGAACGTCCGTACATATATATATATGTCACTATTAAATTCAAAAACTACTAGGTAGTTATTTAATGATAAAAGATTTTAAATCTCTTTATTACATTAGAAAGCTACATTATCATTAAGTTACTTTTGCTATATTTATTGCTAGAAGTTATTTTGTAACTTCGCCCGGACCGAGTCGCGGGCGACAGCTCTAATGTATAAAACTGAAAAATCAAGTAAATGTCGTAAAATTCTATAATTCGCCGGCAATTCTACGAGGTTCGCTGGATTCGTAAACAATTGGCCGTCTTATACGGAAAACGCGCCTTGAAAATGGAATCGAATTGAAAGATCAAAGGAGATTTTGTTTGTTTATTTTTATTTATTTATATGAATATAAAAACAACTATTTTTTCTAAGTTAAGTAAGTACAGCTATACTTATACTTAATACTTATCTACCTATGCTAATATTATAAAGAGGAAATATTTGGTTTGTGTATGTATTCGATTCACGTAAAAACTACTGGGCCGGTTTTTAAAATTCTTTCACCATTAGAATGGTTATTTATCTGTGAGTAACATAGGCTATATTTTTTTGGAACTAATATAACTGGAATAAATAAATCTAAAAATATAAATTTAATTTAATTATGAAATTAAAAATTATTAATTGGTATTAAAGTAACAATTAAGACATTTTAAAGTTTCGCCTAGCCCTATCCTAAAATGAGGGAAACCGCAGCTATCACCTTACATTAACAACAAAATGTGTAGGACTTCTGTCCTGCTTGTATGTTATCTTTTGATCTGTTGCAAAAGGAAGGTTTACAAAGTAAAAATAGTTATTTATTAAACTGTTACTGGTTATAAATTTAACGTTAAAATGAATTGTTTTTTGGTTAGTTCCGTACACATTCACTAGAAGAGTAAATAATATCCACCATATGTTGAATTGTAATTCTTGTCGAATTCGGTTAGTTTGCATATCGAGGTGTGAATGCAATCGAAATAATGCCTAAATATTTCAGGCGCGCTTCAAAAGCTGAGAGTTTGTTGCAAAAAGGTGATTATTTCAACAGTACGCTTTCGAAAGTTGTCGCCAACGGACTGATTAACACTGAATTTTCGAAAACACCATCACTTGTCGATAGAATAAAGAAGGTAAGAATGTAAATTTTTTTGCTGCAACTTTGCTTTATAAAATACAAGCTTTCGCCCGCGTGGAATTAAAAAAAAACAAAAGTGAATAGCCAATGTGTTCTTCCAGACTATCCTCAACATCTGTGCTAAATTTCATCGAGAGATAGAGAAACATCCATCTATAAACATAATAAATAGTATCCTATGTCCGTCTCCTGGCTCTAAGCTACCTCCTCATCAATTTTCAGCCATACCCGTAAAGCCGTTGTTGAGTTATAAATAGTGTAACTAACACGACTTTTTTTTATATATAACGATTAGAAATAAAACTACAATAACTATTCAGAAAAATCTATGTAATTGTGTAAAGTATGTAAAATTTAAATGTGTTTTTGAAGTAACCCAATCTGTACTGTGTCAGTGACTTTTTTAACACAAATAAACCAGCGCTTGACCACGATTCCATCTAAGCTAAGCGAAGACGAGGTCGAAGGATAGATGCGCGCAAGCTCAATAAGTGCCGACTAATACCTAGTTACGTATTGAACAGGCGACCACGATTCAATACTAACAAAAATCATTCTATTCCAGATGACGGAGTACTATACGACGGAAAGATTACCTCTGCAGGGTCACATGACATTGATAGCTTACGAAATGTTGGAAAAACCTGAAAACGTTACAGACAATTCAATGTATCAAGCAGAAATTATTGCTTGCGCTATGGAATTGGTAAGATATCTTCTTGGCAATGATAAATTGAAATATCACTTAGGGAATATTTAAAGGAAAATTCGCGGTGTTATTTACAGAAAAATTGAATTGTTATTTGCATCGAGACAAACTCCGTCTCTCTGATAACCTATTAGGTATCAGTTATTTGTAAACGAAGGGATATTTAAAAGAATATGGATTAATGAAAAGCTATAATCCGTGTACCACTGACCGACCTTTTTTCGTATAAGCACATTTAAAAACTGGGTCCTTTAAACGTGAGTGTCAAAATGGCGGAAGGAACTTAATTTCGTTATAATTTCGTTCTCAACGAGTTACTTTTTTTTTGAGCAAGGTACTAAATAGTACATTTTTTTAGTAAGTGGTATAATTTAATTCACTATGGTACACCCGCCATTTTGACTCTCATCTTTGAACGTGGAACAATAAGATATGATATCTTATCGTTCAATCACGTTCCACGTCGTCATCTCAGTGTGTATAAAATATTCAAACGACTTTAGCTTTAGTAGAACACTATCAGATTCTCCTATTGTACAGTAGGGAAATCAGGCTGTGTTCAATCTCAAAAGCTACAATTGTTTGAACAAAAACAATACAAAGCAGCTTATAAATATACTAGCTGTTCCTGTGCGGCTGCATCCGCATGAAATTATAATAACTTTATTTTATTGTTTACGTTTGTTAAATGTCAAAATTATTCAAAATGTTCAAATGTCAAATCATAACTGACAACCTTGCTCCCTTAATGTTGGTAGATTGTAGTTTATGGTCCCTTTCTGACATGAAGGTTTTTTTCCAATTTATTTACCCCCTAAGTTTAATAGTGTGAAAATATATTGCCTACAGCGTGTCGTAAGTGTCGGGCTTTTTATTAAAGAAAGAATTATTCAAAAACATTCCATGATGGCTGACTTCTTACGCTAGAAAGAAGTGTGTGTTTACGTTTTATCTTATTAGTACAGACATAGAAGTATAGATTTAAACGAAATAATACGAAAAGGTGTATAAACTAGATCTGAATTTGTGTTTTCATATTGATTGTTACTGTCAATTTATGTCGAGTTGTTAACACATTACATTTCATCATAATTTCGCAACAGCCTGTACAATCTCTGACAATTTTTTTGGTTATGTACATTTTTGCTCCCTTTTTAGGAAGTGGCCACTGCCCTCAAATCTGCAATTATTGTTTACAATATTGTGTTTACAATTAGGTAACTCCTATTGTTAAAAATAGCTTAAACAATTCGACGTTGCTTTCAGTTGCAATCATATTTCCTGATAATGGACGATATAGAGGACGGGGCGACGTCACGTCACGGGAAGACTTGCTGGCATTTACTGCCTGATGTCAAGACATTGGCTCTAAACGATTCCAGCATCTTCAGAAGTACCATACATGAAATATTGAAACAAAATTTCAGTGGACCTCTTTACACACAACTGCTTGATACATTTAACGATGTATGATGTTTTGATAATATGTACTATATATGAAATCTCTGAACTTTATCTTAGGGCACTTGTTGGAAACCATAGCTTTTTATTTTTTGTACTGCATATTTTTATTTTTGTTACTACTCGTATTTCTAATTACAAATTATTTTATATGGCCTTAAATTTGAAGAAAAAAGGTAAATTTATTGTTAAAGTTGACAATGAGTATATTTGCTAAGTTATTTTTTCAGGCGTATTCACAGGTAGCTATTGGACAACATTTGGACACATTGTTCTCTACATCAAAAGATTTTTCATTATTTACTCAAGCAAACTACGATAATATAGTCAAATATAAGTGCACGTACTATACAATGAGGTTACCATTGATGTTAGCTATGATACTGACAAATAGAGCGGATGAGGAGTCTTTTAAACTTGCCGAAAATCTATGCCGCGAGGTCGGCGATCTCTTCCAAATGAAAGTAAGTTTTCCAATCATATAATTCGTTTTATATCGTCTATAAGCAACATAAGAAAACTTCTATTTGTTACATTCATATAAAATTTAACGAAACAATTGAAAGTTTTAATTAAACGTTTAATTCATAGAATGACTTCATGGACTGTTTCGACTCAGAGTCAGAAAGTGGCAAGTCTGGCACAGACATACAAGAGGGGAAGTGCACTTGGCTAGCGGTGAAGTCTTTAGAGCGCGGCACGCCAGAGCAAAGAACAACATTCACAACTTGCTACGGCAGCTGGGACCAAGAGCACGTTGACACAATAAAGAATCTATACAAAGATTTGGATCTTATAGCATTGTACGAAGAAGAACAACGCATACGGTATAAAATTTTTATGCAAAAAGTTCAAGCACTGCCATCAAATGCAACGCCTACACCGGAATTATTTTTGAAGCTGCTTCAAATGGCTCAAGCTGGACAGTGAGAAAACAAACACGATCTTGCCAGGGAGAATCTTTACTCAAGTCGGTGTTATTAAATATGTAATTATTGGACTATTTTTCATTAAATGTGACGTTTTAAATATTTTAAACGAAGCATCTTATTATTGATTATAAGTCATGATATGTATGGTTGTGATCCATAAAACTAAGTAAATTCCACCTCCCATTCCCATCCGTTTCTTATAAAAAATGTCACATCCTGTATAACTTTTATCTATTACGTTAGTAAAACAAATTTGATTCATATAGTACTTATATTTTTCGACACACGTTTGAATCTAACCTTTGGCCGTTATCTATGCATGTCATAAAATTTCACTGTTTGTATGTAATATCGGGAAAACGACCATATTTCGTGGACATTTTATTCGATGTTTTGGCGGGAACTTACAGGTGGTCAACGATGCCCATGAACATCCGCAATTCCAAAGGAACTACAGATGCGTTGCCGGCCT